CCATCTGAATGATAATTTAAAACAATTGCAAAATTTCCATTATCTAGGAATTTAGTTATACCATAGCAAAAAACAATCAACCCTGATTTAATTTTACAATAATTCATTGCCTGAAATTGAATATAAAATCAATTAGTATGATATATATAATACAGTATTGTTTATTTTGTTTAAATGACAACTACCCATCTCATCAAAAAAGGCTTTTCCTGAATTACTTGAATCATTTAAACTTTTTAATACTACTAGTTGCTCTTCTAAATAACCAAATTCTTTTTTATTTTCATTGTAATCATTAATACTTCCTCTTATCCATGTAGCAGTAAAAATCGAACTAAATCCACCTTCTGTCAACTTTGTTATATCCTCAAATTGCTCAAAAGGTATCCATTCTAAAATATGTTTTGGCAGAGATGATTTCATTTGACATTGTTGAATAAAATCATCAATTATGTTATTTCCAGATGTCCAAGTGGTGAAAAGGCTCTGCAATTGTAAACTAATACAACCTTCACAGTACCTATCAGAGTATTTTGTCAATTTACACTTGTTACATTGTTTTGGTTTTCCCTGTTTATACATTGCATTGTTTAATTCAAAATCATAAATAAACCTTTCCTTACAATATTCTTTTTCATTTTCAATAAGCTCCTTGTTTTTTTTGACCAATGAAAAAAAATAATCTTTTCTATTTTCTCTATCGGAATTAGTCATTGCATTATGATGTGTTTCACTATAAATTTTACGTAGAAAGTGTGTTCTTTCTAGTGATAATGTTGATAATAGTTTAACATGTGACATTATGTAAAAATATAAAATATAAATTTGGCTTGGTGTCTTAATGAATTTTTTTTTTTTGAGAATAACGGTTACATTATTTGAATTACGTGTAACAATTTTTCGTGCAACATTTTTTTTCACTATTACTATGATAAGGATGTAAATTGAAAAACTAAATTTGCAATATTGATCAACCTATGTTGTTTCAAACTCAGACACTAAAGACAGCTCAAGCACATTATTAATATTATTATTACGCACAGTTAACTTCAAAAGTCAAAAATCCAAAAAAACATCAATTTAACATTAACTCATATGTATGTAAAGACAATTTTATTTTATGAAATGTAATAATAAAAAGAAGGTGCATTTTTATTTTGAAAGAAAAAACAACTAATTAAGTAAAATTTCTAACTCGGATTATAACGTTAGTAAACTCCCCATGATGATTATTCTTCTTGCATCATTGCAATATATATATAATGATATAATAATTCTTTCTTTATTCATCCCAGAGACACACATTTTTACATAATTTGGCATTATTGCTGCTTATATCGAGGTTTACTTTACACCAAGTGTTTTTAATTACATTGAGTGGTTTTACTTATGTCAAGGGCTTCGACTTTAGTCAAATCGTCAAAATGGCCCTGGTAGAAACTACCTTTAGTCAATACTTTGGTTACGTCAATGACTAAAGTCAAAAATTTCGTCATACATCAATAATTAAAAATATATTTTACGTTTTCCTTCCAGGTTTTCCTCTAGATCTAAGGAATGAATCAAATAGAAAATCAAGAAGAAGCATGTATTTTCCACAAGGAATTTCTCTCAAAGACCAAGATTATGCGTGCAAAATAATTAGCATTGAACTTTTTAAAAACAATTTTTGTTGCATAGGCCCATTAATATTGCATGGCATATCAGTGGAATATGGAGAAGGTACTCGACATTTCATACATGCATTTTAAAAAAATATATTTATGTACTTTCTCCTGAATTTCATGAGAAGAACATGGTCAAAGAATACATTGGAAGTAGGTAGTATCTTATGTATTTGAAGAAGAGAGTCACAGAATGTCAAGGTTATGGCAAAAATGAGAGACTATTATCTCATGCATAAGCTAAAGTTGCTTGCCGAACTAGGAAGTTTCAGCAGAATGTCATATGAGAAACTGCCAAAATAGTTTCAGCAAATCATTCTGAAATGCCGAAATGCCAAAACCATAGTTGACTTTTGGTATAACTGCTAGTAAGATTTAATAAATTTCATCCTAGAGGTTGGAAATCTGGCATAATTGTCTAAATTTTTTTGGTCAATTAATATTAATATTCAAATAATTAATCTACTAAATAATTGACTATTTTAATTATTTTTTTGAATAAGGGAAATAAAATGAAAACAAATACATAAATATATATATATATATATTTGAATTTAATGATTTAATAGCAAGCCTTTTTGAAATAAAGATTTAGATTGAGCCAATACTTTTCCTCTGAAAATTCAAAAGATACAAATTGTGATTCTGGCCATTCTTTTTAAAATATTGAAGTAATGACATTATATATATTAAAGTTGGTTTTTTTTATGCGTATAGAAATCTGCACAAAAAAAAAATAATGATAAAAAGGAAAAATATCTGGCAACTTTTTTTTTTCCAGAACTTCATAAAAATCGGAAATATATATTTGACTTAATTTCTCTTAGAGTAGAGGAATAGTGGATGTTCCATATTTTTTCAAAGTAATGGAAATTTGATTATCTATCCACACAATCATTTATCATTATATCATAGGGTTGGCTCAGTCTAAAGACCTCCTATTGCTGCGCCATATGACCAAATAATAAAAAAATTTAAGACTTCACAAATAATTTTTTTGGGAATATCTCGTTATTACATTAAAACTAAAGACCTATTCTATCAACTAATAATGATACTTTTTTAAAAAATTTGCCTCCTTGATGTTCTTTTTAGCAGTTTTTTTGAAATATTTGTCATTATAGCTTTTTTTAATATTGAAAAAATTTTGTGTAGTGTATAGTAAATATTAAATAGAATTGAGTGGATTCACCTGGTTGCTACAAAAGGTATAGATCTTCAAGTTAAAGTCTACTTTTAGTGTCAATAAGAATAATTAGCATTATTCTTTTATAATTATGTTTGTTTTCTGACATGAAAAAAACTTTAATTTTATCAATTAGTTTGTGCTCAAAAGATTTTATAGATGCTTATTATCATTTAAAATATATAATTAATTAAAAGAAAAAAAAGTTCTTGTTTATTCATAATCATGTATTTGATTAAACATCCCCTCATAATATATATACATAATATATATTGCCAATTATGTATATTGTTCATATTTATTTTGAAATCTAAATTGTGAATTCAATTATATTAGCAGATTTAAATACAGAAATAATACCACAAGGATATTTTTAATTTAGTAGACAATATGATTTATAGGACTGACCTTCCACAGACAGGCAATGATGATTACTGATAAATTACCATTCCACTTGCTGAATGGTCATACTAGTTTTAAAAATCCTAAATCTTGATATTCTTTTAATAAATCAACTATCCCATCATTGTTCAAAGAATGGTTATCATATCCCAATAAACTCAATTCAAGGGGTTTAGGTCCTTGCCAATTATTCATCAAAACCCCCAGCGAATCATCAGAAATGATGATTTTATGTGCAATACTTAAAAATCTCAAGTTTCTTGGTAATGCCTGATTTAAAGCTGCCAATACTTCATCAGCATTCACTATAGCATCCTCACCAATTTGAGACAATGCAATGGATTGTAATTTAACGCAGTTATTAAATACTCCAACCAAATATTGCATTACTTCATCCTTGTAAAATATTGATAAAGATGTTAGATTATGACAATTTTCTCCAACTAATTGAATCACCTCTCCTAAATATTGAACATCAATTGGATAGCCCTCGATTATTAACAAATTAAGAAATTTTCCATTGATTTTAATGAAAGAAGAAAGGTCTAATAAAAATGGAGAGTTGATGAGTGAAATAACCACCTTTACGATATTTTTAAATGATATAGATTTAAAACTTGACAGACTGCTATTATCAGCAAATCCATTATCAAAATTAATTAATGACAATGAATTTAAATTTTTTAATGTTGGAATTATCACAGAATCTAAATTATTTTCTCCAACACTATCATAGTCGATTATTGATTCTGAATGAATTGATATGGCTTTTTTGAAATCATCAGAAAAAACTAGATTGTCAGCTGAACGAATAGATAATCTTTTGATTTGATCTTGTGCTTTAACTAGCTGAGTTAGACCATAATCAACATCATTGGTAAATAAGTACTCACTACTATAATCTATATATAATTCTTGAATTTTTTTACATATTTTTGCAATTTTATCAAAAAATTTGTGCCCATTAGGAAAGTTGCAATCCAATTTATAAAGATCTTTAAAACTAGCATCAAATCTATTATGATTGATTAACCAATCGCACTCAATGTCAATAACTTTAAGCCTTTTGATATTTGTTGAATGATCCAAAATAAAGTTTGCTAATTTTTCATTCAAAACTTTAAGTTTATATGATTCCTGACCATTTATCAGCTCCTTTAAAAATTTTCTACTTCGGCAGAGATTTAATTCAGTGGTAAGTTTAGCATAATTGTATAAGGGTGGTTTCTCCAATAGTTTAAAAGGCAATAAAATGTTATTTTCCTTTAAGAAATTTTTATTTTCTTCCATTAGTAGCAACAAACAATTGATTAATATTTTGGTGCTGCCAGCAGAATAAAATGGATTTCTCCATAAAGCTGGAATGTTAACACTATGCCATTGCTTATTAACTAGGACACAAGAATGTAATGTGTTATAATCATTTTCGACGCATCCGAATATTGATATCATGAGTTCAGGTGGTAAATTTATTGTTGACATTACAATGTTAATTTTTTTTTTTTATAAACAATGATTTGCGCAACTGAATCCAAAATTGCACATTTTCAAAGATCGCCGATAAATGATTAAAAAAAATGAATGCATTTTTTATTGATGTAGGTTTGTATGTGCGTATGTGGATGTTTATGTATATGAAAATGTGTTTATATTTGTAAAATATTTATGCGTATGCGTGAAAATATATATTTCTTAATTAAATAAATAAATAACTAACTATAAATAAAAAATAAACAATAATAATGTTGTCATGATTGCTCAAAATCTTAATTTTTTACATGTTGATGAATGATCTTAAAACATTTCTCCATAGTTTGCTACTAACAACTGATTTATTCTATTCACCCATTCACTAGCTGCTCCATTTGGATCTTCAAAATAATAAGTTTTTCTAGGCTAACAAAAAACAAAAAAAAAATAGATTCAAAATTAAATTCAAAAGATTCTAATATAATAGTAAAGAAGATGGTAACAATGGTAATGATGATGATGATGATGATAATAATAATAAATAATACATACTGTATGAACAAAAAAATATTTTCTATTTTTTAATTCAACAACCATTCTTGAACTCCAATATATTTCACCTTTTTGTTTCATTCGTTCTTGATCAGCATATATTAGCCTAGGAAAATCTGTTAAAATTAATAGACATTTCTTAGAAAAAAATCCTTTTCGTTTATTTATGGGTCCAGAATGAACAACTAGCTCCGATTTGAGTAGGAATGGAAGGCTAATATATATATATATATATACATATAAACATGTAACGTTAGAAAAATAGACATATCAAATATGTTTAAATACCATAAAGTATTATTAAATGATGATTGTGATTATACCATTGAGCAGAAGTGTGTTTTTGATCTTGTAATTTTTTGAGTTTTTCTGGATCAACTTTATCAGATCCATCATCGCCATTTGCAAAGCTCTCTAACCTGAATGGATCACTTTGTTTAAGTCCAGTAGCAAGATAACTGCTGCCACCAACGCTGCTACCACGGTTATAATTACTATTTTGCCTTAAAAAGACACTATCTGATCTGAATTCATCTTCATTATTTGTTGGGTTAGGAGGTAAATATGGTAATAGTTTTGGAGCAGGTTGCTGCCATAAGTCATCCCACATTATATCATTAAAGAATGGATGTGATTTTAGTTTATTAACCCCATCTTTGCCACCATGACCGAGTCGCTCATTTGGATTGGTAACCTTATTATAATAACAACGTATAGGTAAATATAAAGATAATAAATCAACAATATAATTTTTTATATAATGAAAATCATTATTAGTACCAGTAGTTTTTGAACCAGATCTTTCGCAATAGGAGGAAATCCTTCTGGAAAAGAATAATCAAGATTGACAATTTTTTGAAAGGTCATGTACTCATTTGAACCTTTAAATGGTGGACGTCCTGCAATTAATTGATATATGATACAACCAAGTGCCCAATAATCTGAACTAAATGTAAATTATTATTATTATTATTATTATTATTATTATTATCATCATCATCATCATCATCATTACTATTATTATCATAGTATATGATAAATAAACAACTTTCATTAAATATATATATATACAACTTGAATTAAAAACAACCCGAACCTTTTGCATGCTGCCTTTTCCTTTAAAAGTTCTGGGCTTACATATTCAGCCGTGCCTACAAATGAATTTGCTCGATCATCTATTATTATTGTTGATATTAAAATTATCATTTAAATATATACATACATATATATATTAATAATTTACAGACATTGATTGAAAAAATATAATAAGAGAATTAATTGTTTTTAACCTTCAACGGTTCCAAATTCATTTTGCTCTAATAATTTTGCAGTTCCAAAATCAGTAACTTTAATATGCATTTTTTCATCTAATAATATACTTTCAAAATCAATAATCAATCAATCAATCAATCAATCAATCAATCAATCAATCGACTTGGAAAAAATAATATAAAGATAAAATAAAAAGTCTTACTTTTCTGGTTTTAAATCTCTTTTGAAATTAAAAAAAAAAAAAAAACAAAATTTTAAAACTACAAATCAAACAATTAAACAATAATATTGTTATTTAAAAAAGAATCTTCACCTATGAATTACCCCCTGACTATGCATGTATTCTACAACTGATAAAATTTGAGCAGAATAATATTGCGCACAATTAACATCAAATGATCCAAGCTAAAAAATTTTTTAATTTTATTATCAATAATTATTTATTCCACAAAGTCATCAATGAACAATTGATAAAAATAGCTTTTTATTACAAACCTTTTTTATTAAAGTTAAAAGTTCGCCATTTTTAGCATGATCCAATACGAAATCTTTTTTTTTTGCAAATCAAATAATAACAACAATAATAATCGAATAAATTAAGAATTTTTTTTTTTTTGTGGTATGAATGAATCGAGAAATTGAAGAAAAAAGAAGAAAATGTCAATTTTTAAATATCTTTTAAAAGAAAAGGATACATAAACTATTATTATCTTGAAACGTATAATATAAACGAACAATCCCAGGATGATTTAATATATTTAAAGTGTTTTTCTCAATGTGGACATATTTAACTTTTTTTTCTTTGATAATGTGTTTTTTGTCAAGAATTTTTATTGCATACGCGCGTCCTGATGAACGATCTTTTGCAAATACAACCTAAATTTTAAATTAAGACAAAGGATTTTTACAAATTATCGAAATTTTGAGAATTTTAAAAATTTTAAAATAAAAATTTCTTCACATACAGTGGAGTAAGAACCTTCACCCAGAGTTCTACCAAACTCAAAATCTTTAACACCTTTTTTTCTTATAGATGTATTAGTTGAAGTTGTTGATTGTGCATAATGTTGTTGAGAGTGTCCGTTTTCTCTATTTGAACTGTTAGCAGTTGAATGAGAGCCAATTGAATTATTAGAAGTCATTTTGAAAGAAATTATTGTTTGTAATTTTTGTTGAAAAAAAAATTTTATTTATTTTGGATTTAAAAATTGTTCATGTGTTACATTTTGACAAACAAAATTCAAAAGTTGTGCGATGTGTGCTGCAGATCAAGAAGAAAAAAAAGTAATTTGAAGTTCACTATTTAAATTAACCTCTTGCTGTTGTTGTTGTTATTGTTGCTATTGTTACTACTATTGGTGATTATGTGACAGTAATAATAATATAGATAATTGTATAAATAATTAAATAATTCGTTTAATATTAAAATTTCACGAATCCCCAAATAAATGGATAATCGAATAATCTGACTTTTTAGAATTTATGCATTTTTTATATGGTGCTCTCTTGTTTTTGTCTTTTTTTTTATATATATACAATAACAATAAAAAAGATTTTAACGAACAATAATTGATTGATGTAACATGTCATCCACATGATCAATAGATATACCTCAATAAACACAATTTAGTTAGTATTGGATTGTTTATTACTATGTCGAATGTTGAATTAATAATTTTTCTATCAATTATTTATGTGGATTTTTTTTTTCTCACAAGATTATGAATTTAAAGGATTATATAACGTTAAATGCATAAAAATTGGAAAATGATCTGCATGGGAAAAATGTTTTTTAAAATGAAAATTTTGTTTTGATATTTATTCTTCGTACTTTACAAATAAGTTACTAAAATGATTTTTCTTCAAATATAATAGAATCTACTCGAAAAGACAAGTTCTAGTAAGTAGTACTTGCCCATAGTATACTTTACAAGTAGAAAAGTTCTCCTCAAGAGGAGCTCATGAAATGATTTCTTAATATTAATCTGCTCGAAAAGAAAGTCTTTGGTAAATGCTCTACGCATGCACAAAAAATAAGGGGCGTTTATAATATATTAATATACTCCTAATATTTTTTATTAGTGAAACGGATCACCGCCGTCATTGTCACAAACAAATTTGACTACCAAAAGTTCTTAATTTTTCAGTCCAATATAATCACTATTTTTTTTAAATGATTATTGCACGACAAAGGAATTAATATCTTGTTAAAAGGTTCTTTTTAAAAAAATTTGTAAAGTCAAAAGCAGTTTTCAAATTGTATATAACCTACTGTATATTATTAAACCTATAAAAAATTTCATAAAATATATTATTAAATCTTGAAATAATTTTGTTTTGCCGCCTTTGCCAACAAGGAGTTCATTCACAAGGTAAATGGCTTTGCATGTATGTAAATTTAGAAACATTCATTAAAAAACATTTTAATTTAAAAATACAGAGTATTTCCAGTGCATTAGTATTGACCATCAACTAGGCGAGTTGAAGGATGATGGTATTAGGAAATAATAAGATTAATATATCTTTCTATTTTACATATTAATATTCTTCGTGAAAATTATATCAAACCTTCTTTTTGCTTTAGGAATAAAAATTAGAATTCCCTGTTTTTTTACTTGGTATTTTTACAAATAATTAATTCATTATTAAAATTAGATGTATTTAACATCACAATTTATTTTTAAATAGGGCAACATGAGAAGAGCAGGAAAATATTTGTTATGATAATAATAACCTATTTATTTTATTCTTGGGGTGACATCGTCAATTTTTGTTAATGTTAAAGAAATCAAGCGGAAGGAGAATGTTATATATATTAAATATTTTCTAGTGGCCAAATAATAGTTAATTGTTGAACTTATTTTACCTTCTTGTTATCCACTTCACCCACCTTCAATAAAATAAATTTTATTTTTTTATCTTTGATAATATTAATATTATTATATTAATATACGATACTTAATGATCGGGCAGCCAAAAAAATTATCCATTGGTAGGTATACAAACATACAGAAATAAAGTTTATATATAAATCGTTATAATATCTGTAAACTTAAATCTATGATTCATCTAATTTATATAATGTTTTGATGTAATTTTTGATGTTTTCATAATTCTATGCCTAAATTAAAGTGTAAACATGTAAGGTCTGAAGATTTCAAAATTTAATAAACAAAATTAATATTCATAATTATTGCAAGGTATACGAAATATTTCAAACAGTTATAAATATTCCAATTCCAAATAGTAATTAGTCGAATATTCAAATAATTATTCGAGTATCGAGTAAACCTCTAACTCTATTACTTTTATCCTGCTACTAGTATTGTGTTTTTCTTTTTTTCTTTTTGAGTAAATGTATGTTTTTTTTGTCATTCTAAGTAATGCAGATGAACCCATCTCAACCAAGTGTTTATGTCATTGAATTCTGCACTAAAATTCCAAATGTGAATTGAATGCTAAGAAAAAAATTTTTTTTTTTAGCCAGCTCATATCATTAATCTAGCTTTGGTGATGCAATTATAATGTATCTTTTGCATAAACAAATACATTTATCAAGAATAAATTCACGGATCAATTTTATGCACAATATACTAGATAGTATTATGAATTTCTCGCACTATTACTCATTGATATTCGTATCTAGAAAAAGGAAGCCAGGTATGACTTTGAGCATGAAATGTGAGTAGGTAATATTTGAGAGAAAGACAGTAGTCATTCTCTGGCTATGTAAGTAATTATTCGCAACTATTTTTCTTTTCCAACTCAACATGAGGAAAAGTAGAAAAGATCCCGTATATAAATATATGCTAACTCAACGCCAATTAAAATAATTAATTTAATAACATAATAATTTGCAATAAAAATAACTGATAAAATTAACAACTTATTAAATCATAAAAGTAATTATCTTGACGCGTATAAATATCATTTGCGCCATTAACGCCCCACGCAATGCCATCAATAGAAATTGCAACATTCTTGAGCGCGCTGTCAAAATATTGCCAACCTTTATTGACATATTGAAAAATTTGATCATTATAATTGATGCCAACCACTAATTTTTCACTACTGGTGTAAACTTGCTTGAACTTTCCAGGAATTTGAACCTATTTTTTAAAACAATAACTAAATATAAATACTAAGGTCAAATTTAAAATGGTACTGACCAGTTGATACCACCCATTTAAAGATATATTGGTTACTATTAATGCCCCAAATGGTCCCATCAGAGGCTACTGACACATTGGGCAACCCATCAGAAACTTCAACCCATCTACCATTATTAATATTATTGCCAATTCAGTAAAAGATCTTACCTATATGATTGACACCCCAGATGTGATCTTTATTGACAACTGTAAAAAAAAAATAAATAATGTAGCCAAATTTATGATTTTTGACAGCTGTAAAGCTTACAAAAATTATCTGATATTTAGACTAAAGAACCCTCAACCTGCGTCCTATAATATACAGCAAAATCAAAAGTTAACGGAGAACAAACCAAGACTAAGAAAGATGGATGGCAAGAGAAATGGTTACTTACCATCCATAACCATTCCATGCAAAAATGTTATTTTGATTATTATAGCCCAAATAGTTCCATCAACACCAACACCAACACCAACATTTACAGCTGAGTCAACAGCTAGCTCTCAATGTCAATTGTAGAATCGAAAAATCTATAGAATTAAAGGGAAAATGAGTATTCATGTCAAGAATGTATCACACAAATAGAAGAGAAGTATATTACCTTTTTTGCAGAGTTTACACTTCATATGTTATTGCCTTTACCAACTACCAGTTGACCAAGATTGCCTCCAATTTGTTTCCAACCCATGATATTTAGTTTTTAATGATTTACAGAATAGAATCACTGGATTAAAGCTCCGAGCAGTTCGGTTTCAGATTCTAAAAAGTCAAACCAAAAAATTTTGGTTCGGTTCGGTTCGAACTGTTCAGGGCTTAGGCTAAAAACTACTTGGCAGTTCCTGGCATTCTAATTTTTGCACTCTGCTTATTTAGAACCAAACCCACTAATTTCTAATCTAATAACAACCAGTGAACGAATTTTTTCTTAATTATTCAAAGACGTTGTATTTTAGAACCTGAAATAATAAGAGTTTAAAAGTTGCGGAGATGATGAATTTTAGGATCTGATTCATTTCGTCGACAGTCATTTCGTCGACACCCATTTCGTCAAAAGTTTGTTTCGTCAAAAGTTTATTTCACCGAAAGTTCATTTCGTCGAATGTTCATTTTGTCGAAAATTTGTTTCATCGAAAATTATTTCGTCACAAAAAAAAAATTTCATTAAACAAATTTCTCCTCACACTTCCCACACACTCCGCTTTCCTCACCTAGTTTCTTAACTAACTTCCCACACTCCTCACATCTAACTCGTTCGGTCTCTGGCTCGAGGATGAAATAATTTTCGACGAAATGATTGTCGACGAAATGATTTTTGACGAAGTAAACGCGACCGCGTCGTAATTTATTTTAACTTATTATTATTTAAGAAAGAATCGTTTTGGGATATCCTCGCAATTTCGAGATATCTTCGCAATTTTCGGGATATCACGCAATTTTGAGATATCGTCTCAATTTTCTCAATATCACAATTAGAGATGGGAACGGTTCGGTTCGGTTCGATTTATAAACCGCCAGTTTGGCTAGTGAACCGCACCGACCGGCGGTTTACCACCGCGGTCTGAACCGCAGTTCAAACTCAAGTTTAACCGCAGTTTTATAATTTTATTGGTGATCTATTTTTATAAAAATGAAAAATTTTAAAAAACAAATTATTTGTTCCGACAATGAAAGCTATTTTAAACACCACTACTATCAATTCTCTTCATATTTGCTTGTACTTTAAATTGTTTGCATCAATAGCTGGAGTTCCGCCTGATCTCTATATCAAGTTGTAGCACCATAATTCAATTAATTGTGATTGAAATATCTGTTATCATAAAAAAATAAACATAGTTAAATTTTATTATCAGGTCCAATTCAAAATTTAGGACCACAGCATCAGTTAGTGAGATTTTTAAATAAATTAATATGTAATTTGAATAAAATTAATGATTGAATAAACTAATAAATCAAATAAAATTAAATCAAATAAAATTAATAAAATGAACGATTTGAATGAAATTGGTAAATCCAATTCAATTAAAATATTTTTTCTTTATCAATCTATTTTTCCTTCTTAGCCCTTGTATATAATGATAATAATAGTAAATAGTAATAGCTGACATCTTTCTTTTCTTTTCTTAAGTCATAGTACTAGTAACCATAGTAAATTATAAATGTAATTAATTATCTTGTTATAGTTAAATCCCTTAACAATAACAATAACAATAACAATATTATAGAATTTGTTGCATCAAGATGTGAATTAATATTTATATCCAATATTTTGTAAAACAAATAAAATGATATAAAACGAATAAGTGTGAAATGTAACGTGTAACCAACTCAGTTTCAAATCGGAGTTTGAACTGGGGTTTAACCGCGGTTTGAAATGTGTAAACCAAACCGCATCGGTTCGGTTTCAAACCGCTGGTTGAACCGGTTTGGGTTAAACCGTTCCCATCCCTAATCTCAATTTTGAGATGTTAGAATTACTAATTAATTGAATTGTATATAAGGAACTTGAATTCAATGTACTTGTAAAGTAACTTTCTCATAAGTTAATTAGTTCCGACTAAGAAAAGCTAAATAAATAAATAAAATAATAAATATTCCATTTTATTTAAAAACTTTTATCTTCTTTAACCAAAATTATTCGCTAATACCAAAATCAATTCGTTGATCCCCTATTCATTCTGATCCACGCAAAAACAAAAATAATTGTTATCACCAATTAAATACGCTCTCCCAAATTTAATCGGTGACATTACCAAGAATAATATTGATATCTAAACCAGACATATTTAGCAATTATAATAAGTTTATTGGTTTATATGTGATTTATTATTAACCTATAGTCTAAGAATACATGATTCATTTTTAATAAAGCGAAGAGATAATCTATAGTAATAGTAATAATAGTAATACTGATATATGGGAACCATGTGCAGTTAATCCAATTTTGATATCCCTACATATTAACGCACAAATATATCAACCGGCGTTCTATGAACTTCTAATAATAGCCAAATTAGCTCGATGGTACATGAAACAAAAGTAATGTATATTAGACTACAAACGTAAACATATTAATAGCTCTGCTGATATATGGAAACAAGGTGGTCTATCCAATTGGAAGTTTGCCATATTTTTCATAGTGGCCAAATCCGAAACGAAACGGTCAATTGATCTGGTGTGAACGTGTCTCCACACAAATCACATCTCAGAAGATTCTTAACATAATTGAACTTTGTTTCGAAAAAAGGACAAGAATTTAAAAATAAAACTCAATGATATATATCGTATGTGTTTTTATTTTTGCCAAAAAATTCAACCATTACAATACTCTAGCAAGGTGAATAACTTGTCAAGTAAAAAATTTAATGCCAAGATAAAATTTTTATAATGTTTTGCTTATAAATAAAACTTGAGAATATTAAATGTAACAGATAACATTGATAAAAAAGAAAAAATCTAGTCGGTTTTATAAATAGAAGACTTTACATTTAAAAATTAATAAAATAATAATTAATTATCAAACTCTCTCTCACACACTCTTACTCGCACTCGCACTCTCACTGTCACTCTCACTCTCACTCTCACTCTCACTCTTAATCTCACTCTCAAAACCCTTTCTCTCAAAATCCTTTCTCTCAAAACCCTTCCATGTTTTCCAAATCGGAGTAAAACCTCTCCCTGATATCATTTTCTTGAATTTTTCACTATTCTCGTCTAATATTTTTTTTAAATCTTCTTTTGGCGCTTCATTCTTTACACCAACACAAAAATTATTAGGAATAAAAATTTTATCAGGATCATATTTATCTCTTAATTCACATAATTTTTTATATTTGTCTTCAGTTTCATAATAACAATCATGAAAATAATTGAGATTTAAGTCATGAGAAGCCCATAACAAACGCATATCTTTATCAGAGAATATAGGATTATTCACTGAAACACATTTATCATTTTCTCTTTGCCATTCGCTTGCTAAATGAAATTTCTCTTTTTCGAAAAATACGTCAAAGGTAAATCCAAAATTCATATTTCGCCAACTAATTGATGTTTTATCCTGGTTTTCTACGCCTTTCTTATAAAATTCGGATTCTGCACCACCATAGTATTTGAATTGAGCTGAAAGTTTTAATTTTTATTTATTGCTAAGTTAACACGATTGGTAACCCAAGCGGACCAATTAGTATCAATTAACTTGCTTGCTTCCCAATCGGAAAAATACCCACGCTTTATATACTGCAATTGAAATTCTCTTCTGATAAACACAATCCAATCTCTAACTAAATCTGAAACTTTAATATCCTTTTTTGTTGTGTCTGTTACAATTGTCCATTTATTTGGTTCTTTAACAACATCTTTTATTTTCTTAATTGGAGAAGTGTTTTCGTCGTATTCTTGATAATGATAAGCGTGTATGATGATCATAGTTGGCCAAACAACATCTTCATCACCACTATTAACATACTCTTGTCGATTGTATGTTTTGTCATATGATGGATCATTATCTAAGACATTTCCAATATCTTCTATACCTGAGTCAGATATGAGTGTGACACAATAATCAAAATCATCTTCGTCGACGGTTTCTAACATTATATCCAAGAATGTTTTAAAATATCCAGGATCGTATTCACAAACTGCAAAAAATCCACGAGGTGAATACTTGCGATCCTTTAAAACATTAAACTTAACGTGTGTAATTACACCGAAATTACCCGGGCTACCACCAATGACAGCACGAAATAATTCGGCACCTTTTTTAATCCATTTTGCTGTATATTTATTTTCAGTTTCGTCATAAGATATAATCTTAATCTCCTTAATATAATCTATTAAAAGACCAAAACCCCTCGCGAGTTGTCCATAATCACCAGTTTGTACATGTCCTCCCAAACCTACATATTCACATTGACCTACCGGTAAGAACTGTCCTTTATCTTGTAATATTTTCGCAAACTCATCCAATGAGTGACTAATTCCAATTTCTAATTCAGTGCTCTTACGTTTCCACACAAAATTCTTTTACGTATTAGATAAATCTAATTGTATGTTGTTACGATCGGTAGAGACGCACCGGTATATTGATGCCCACCTTTAATAAATATTTATAAAAATAAAATATATAATATAAATTTACTCGCCATAAATCGTTATTACACGTTTAAGTGTTAGTTTACATTGATTTCAGTTAATCTTAAAATAACATACCTGTACGAATAGCAATTTTCAAATTATTTGTTTGAGCGTATTTTAACGCTATATAAATATCATCAAAATCGTCATCATTTGTTGCTTTTGGATACAGCACAAATTGGGGGTTCATATCTTTGATACTACGAAATGAACTTTTTGCATATTGATAAGATTTATGCAAATATTCATTACGATCTTTTTTAGGCTAAAATATTTCTCCTTTAAATCCATCAAAAAACTGTGGTGGATCCATTTTTTATTTTTCATGATAAAAAATAATTTAGTTTATTTATATTAACTGAAATTATTAAATTTCGTGCAGGACGCCTTTTTCACTTGTATGACATAAAAAATCCAAAAAAATCAACAATTAATACTGAAATGTTTATTTCGTTATATTCTTATGTTAAAATAGCGATTTCTGTCCAGAAAAACAACAATAATAATATCTATTCGTTTCACAATGATTTTTTTTTCGCTAAAATTATTTTCTATTGTTATATATACGTATTAATAATAAAGCCTTTTCTTATTGAATATGGTTTCTCCGATAAGAATAAATGCTAATGAAACTTGAAAAGGATAAAAGAATGGAAGGTTTATTGTTCTTATCAGTAACAATAATATCAAATTTCATGTGAATTATAGAACTTGAGATCTTTACAATCTCCGAAGAACGTCAAAATTTGTCTTATTTTTCATTCTACAAAAAGCGATCTCCAGAATGAAAGGCTTAATTTCCCATAAAAGATGAAATATACTTTCCTCTTTGCGCTTGTGATTTAATAGAACTGCTTTATGGTGCAGAGATTCCGTTAATTGCAGGTGAAAAGCATTTTACTATCATATCATTATGTTAATCTCTTTTTCTAACAGGTTCTCAGATTTGGCAAATGGAACAATATAAATAAACCGATTTGTGAGATATCATTTTTAATTTTATCGATTTTTTTTTCAAAGGTAATAGTAATACATTGTTTATGAAAGCGAAATTCTACTTATTATAAATATTTGTCATTAGGAAAAGAAAAATGGATGATAACAACAATAACGATAACAATAAAATAAAAATAATTATTTTAGGGTGCTGACCAGTGTTGTGACCAGAAACTCTTTTGGCTTCCCGAACCGTTTCGGAAAATGAACTTACACTAAGCAGAAAACTAAAACTAAACCTAAACCTAGGCATAAACTATTAACCTAAACTAGTTTCAGGTGGTTTCTGTTGGTTTCTGTTTCGGGTCACAATACTGGCGCTGACATATATTAGCTAATATCATTTTAATAGTAGCGCTTACTCCCCCACCCCCAGGTAAGACATTTTGATCACGTGGATGACAATCATTTGTCTTTTTAGGTATCAACAAAGCCACAAGCGAAAAAAAAGAATTAATTTTATTAATAAAATCATACATTTTAAAAGCAACATTGGAGTAAAAAATTTTCCTTTATAATATATTATGATCTCTTGGAATTCCTGGGTATAATTTACATTGGCTATTTCTTTGACAAAACAACCTATTTGGTTCTGAGTGTAATAACTCTTACTTATTTGATAATTACAAACAATGCATTCTGCTAAAGGAAATCTAAAGAACAAAACTCAAGGATTCTTGATGATTTCTCTCTTCTCAATCACAACAAAATTGTCCTCTTTTTGAAAAAATATTTAAGGAAATTAAAGACTAGTGCTGTAATCCAAAAAAGGAAAAAGTATGGTTGCAAAACTGGTCACAAAGGTAATTGCAACCACTTTTTATATGCTGTAAATACAATTACTACCATCATCATAATTTACAGCACTAGTCTTTAAAGGAAATGTATATCAGATAAAGAATGATTAATTATAGCATTTATGTATATGAGAATGTGAGAACTAATTGCCATATCATCCTGTAGACAAAAAGTGTAATACAATTTTTTTGTAAATGACAATTGGCTTACATGTAGATCATTCCCGAATTAAAACACTTACATTCAAAATTATAAAAATGCAGATCTTTCACTGAAGCCATTATGATCATGTTAAATAATTAATCATTGTTAATTTAATAAATAATAATTTGCAACAAAAATAACTGCCATCAATAGAAATTGCAACATTCTTGAGCACACTGTCAAATTATTGCCAACCTTTATTGACATATCAAAAAATTTGATCATTATAATTGACACCAACCACTAATTTTTCACTGCTGGTGTAAACTTGCTTGAACTTTCCAGGAATTTGAACCTATTTTTTAAAACAATAACTAAATATAAATACTAAGGTCAAATTTAAAATGGTACTGACCAGTTGATACCACCCATTTAAAGATATCTTGATTACTATTAACACCTCAAATGGTCCCATCAGAGGCTACTGACACATTGGGCAACCCATCAGAAACTTCAACCCATCTACCATTAATATTACTGCCAATTCAGTAAAAGTTCTTACCTATATGATTGACACCCCAAATGTGATCTTTATTAGCAACTGTAAAAAAAAAATAATTAATTTAGCCAAATTTGTGAGGGACATTGCCGAATGCTTGGGTTTAAAAATCAATAAAAGTACTACTCATTATTTCAAGGGGGCGGCCACTGTTCTGACTAAATCTATTGGAATGGTTTATAATGTACCATTAACCCTAGCTCCCAGCTGTGTATTTCATTTAGATTTTGCAGTTATTGAATACGAAAAGTCTATGGTTATATTGAGTAATCCCTTCCTTAAAAAACATGATTGTGCGATGGATTGGGCTAAATCCGAAATGAAGCTTCATTGCAATGGAAAAGATTTCATCATCCCAGTTACTATGCATAGAGTTGAAAATGAGCTTGAGGTACATCATGTTAGTGCAATTCCTTCTATTTCCGAAGAGACAGATACAGAACTAAAAAAAAACACGTGATTAATCCTAATCTCATTCCAGATACTAAAATATTAGAGTTCCATTCCAAGGTTTGGGACACACGGCAAAACCTCAAAGATGAATTTCTTAAAGTTTTAGATTATGCTGAATATCTTGAAAAGGAATTGATTCGAATTCAGGATTCAGCTTGAAGCTCTTTAGCATATTTTCGCAAATGTGCCATTCTGGCTTGCACTTCATTTTCTGGCACTGACGAAGTAGACTGATTATTTAAAATAGAATGATGTATGGTTTTCGATTCCGATAGATCTCCACCTTTAGATAATTCCGCACTAGAATTGTCCTTTTTTTTTCTGCCAGTCTTTTTTGTCTGCTTATCTGAGGTAACAATAGAGTTTACTTGCATAACGTTTTCATCCATGCCAATGTTTAGTAAATGAGGTGAATCAGGAAACCGATCTACTATATTTGATAAGCTGTGGTCCCCATTCTGTTGAGAACGCTCGCTATTTTTCCATATATCCTCAACACGATTTTCATTAATATGGAAATTCCTTACTAGCACATATTTAGGAACCTTATTTTTGGATTTCCTAATCTCTTCGATTTGCTCAGGTGTTAAAATAGTAGCACCTCGGCGATAATAAGTTTTTAGATGTGGAGTGGACATTGTTCAAAGATGTTTTTTTTTCGAATTGGGTCGAAGATTATTACTTTACTTAATAAAAGATAATAAATATCGAAATTTAATATTTTACATGGATAAATAACGTTAAAAATCAAAGTTTACCATCTACTACTGTTAAATAACGTTAAAAATCAAAGGTTACCATTTGCTATCGTTAAATAACGTTAAAAATCAAAATTAATTCAATTTTTTGTTAAACATATTCTCTTTAATTATATGGCACCAATACATACCTTAAATAGTGGATCTACTGTTGCCGAAAATTTTCAAGGGCGTGGATATAAATTAGATAGCACTAGAGAACGTGAGCTTGAATCTGAACGTAATGAGTTACTCATTAAAACCGAATTTTTTGCTAATAAATGTTCTGATTTTAGAAATGCCAAAGTGCTTGCAGAAACACGATCAGATGAACTTGCAAAAGAGTTGAAATCAAAAAATGAAAAAATTTTACGTCTCCGGAAAAAATTAAATCGAATCACCGATGCCAAAACACGAAATGACTCAAATATGAAACAACTCAAAGAAGAAATCAAACAGTTACAGAGCGAAAATACTAATCTTGTATCCCAGGGTGCTCTTAAAGAACTTTCTCTTACTGGCTATCAAACCGAGTATTACAAAAAAATGGAAGAGGCGAATTCTTTCCAATCTAGAATAAAGTCATTGGAAGAGAAATTATGAATTATCCTTAAAAGTTAGTGAGCTTGAACATCTAAAATCGGAGGATATATCAGAACCCACAGTTGGTGGAGATAATGAAAAAAATACGCAGAGCGATGAACAAAGCCCCATAACCAAGTCTGACGATATATCTGCAATTAGTGAAGAATCAGTGATTCGAGGCTATGCCTCACCTAGCAAAAATCTCAGTCAATATTTTATACATAAAAAAAATATGGATCAAGCTGGAAAAATCGATACTATTGTGCCAGATCACACTGATGATAAAAGTACTTCTATACCTGAGAAATCAGTAATTCGAGGCTATGACTCATATCCAAGTGTAGATACTGAGATTATTCCCAATGTAAGTGATAAAATCGATATTAGTAAAACTAATAACAATATACTTGTACAGCCAGAAAATAATATGTCCCCTTTGATTGAATCGAATACCCAGATGGGACCTGGTCCCGAGGCTTTGCCTCCTCCGATAGGAGCAATCCCTATTGTGGCATATATTTTTCTTACTCTATTAATTATTGCGGTTATGTGGTTTGTAAGACGCACATGGGGATTTGGGAGGAAAAGTGATCGGTTACAGGATATGTGGATTGGACATTAGAAGTTATCTATTTAAACTTGGGTATTATATATATATAGAAAATATAATAGTTTTTAACCATGCCTAATATTTGTTGTAGTTGTAAGGAGCCATCGTCGCCATTATATACAGACTGTATTGTTACACACTCCTTTATGGTAGTAGGGATGAGATTTCGCGGTGGTCATAAGTTTAAGAAATCAGATACCATCACTCTTGAACCGGAGCCTTCTAATACGTATGATAAGAATGCGATAAAAATTATGGTAGATGGTACCCATAAAGCCTATGTGGCAAAGGACGAGAATGTAAGTATAGGAGATTTGATGAAAAAATACCCGAATTATCGGATTACTGCTCATGGGAAAAAGAACTATAATAAATCAGCATCTTTAAACCTTGAATATCCTTGGATGGTTTGTGAGAGATGTCGCGATACGCTACAAGCATCAAGGGACTATGACTATAGTTATTGGTGAACCTATTTGAAGTTGGGAGTTATTTATATACGAAAAATATTATTAATAGTATAAGTATCTTAGTAGATTGTGGCGATCTTAGCTAAGAATACTTAACAGTATAGATCAATGATCTCATCGATATCTGCTTCTGATGGGTCGTTTTTTTTACCGTTTTGCATAATATATAATGAAGACGTGTGATCTCAAGACCAGTTACCTTATACCATGTACTCCGAAAATTTATTAATGCTTCACATTCTGATTCCAGGTTATATTGAAATATATATTCTTCCAAAATCGTAACATTGGTCTTGCATTTTTGTGACTTCATAATTAATTTATACAACCCATTTCTATATTCTACATTAAGCTTAGAGAATTTTGAAAGCGGGTTCGGGAATATTAATGTTGGTTTAGGGGTTCGTACAGTTACAAAATCTTCATGAATAGAAAAACCTGGAGGAAATGTTATTGGTAAATTACGAGCAACACCAATAGATTCTGTTGGAACAGTGGCAACACCACTAAGATCATACTTTACCGATTCATCAATTTTCCAACCTATGCGTTTAACAATGTCTTCTGATATAATTGGAAGCTCATCACCACTATCCAGTACCATTGCTGGAATTTTCAGGCGCTTGATCTTGCATTCTATAGTTGCAAGACTTATTGGTTTTTTCTTTTGAACAAAATCAATTTCCATAGGATCGTTCAATGTCTCCTCTTCACCATCTGATTCGGGTATCTCCAATATTGGTTCTCGATAATTTACAAAATCTGGAATAGCTAAATTTTTGTTTTCAGGTTTTAGTTTCTCTAACTGATGCGGGAGTAAGACTTTTTCAAGCATATCTAACATAATTCGACGAATATTCTCCTCAAGGGTAGTCGATTTATTTTGGGCCTTACTAGAAGTGGCAACACCTTTCTGTTTAGTCTTACGAGATTTAGGTATTTTCTTAGAGGATGATTTACCCTTCTGCTTTACTTTTTTTTTGATTTAACGTCATTGATAGCATTGATAATTTTCACGATTTCACTCTCAGTTAAGTTATTCTCAGAATCGGATTCCAATTCAGAACTAGACCCAGAGTCGGAATTAGATTCATTATCAGAAGAATTGGTATTAGAATCAGAGCCGGAATCTGAATCTTTAGTAGCAAGATTAACCCTACCTTTTTTCTTGGATATGCTTTTGTTAGAACGTCTGGACTTGCTCTTCTTTTTAGAACAGTTGCGAGAATTATGGCCTGCTTTACCACACTTTGAACATTTGTATTGGGATGATTTTAAAACTGCATTCATTACCCCCCTCATTACTATCGACCTCTTGAGAAATTTGATCAGATACCGAAGGCTTATCATCTTGAGCTACAGTTGCACAATTTATTTCAAGTTTATTCTTGACTTTGTGCATAGTAACCGGAATAATAAAATCTTCTCCATTATAATGAATCTTCATTTTATCATTACCCCAATCTACAGCACATTTATATTTTTTAAGAAGCGGGTTCGGGAATATTAATGTTGGTTTAGGGGTTCGTACAGTTACAAAATCTTCATGAATAGAAAAACCTGGAGGAAATGTTATTGGTAAATTACGAGCAACACCAATAGATTCTGTTGGAACAGTGGCAACACCACTAAGATCATACTTTACCGATTCATCAATTTTCCAACCTATGCGTTTAACAATGTCTTCTGATATAATTGGAAGCTCATCACCACTATCCAGTACCATTGCTGGAATTTTCAGGCGCTTGATCTTGCATTCTATAGTTGCAAGACTTATTGGTTTTTTCTTTTGAACAAAATCAATTTCCATAGGATCGTTCAATGTCTCCTCTTCACCATCTGATTCGGGTATCTCCAATATTGGTTCTCGATAATTTACAAAATCTGGAATAGCTAAATTTTTGTTTTCAGGTTTTAGTTTCTCTAACTGATGCGGGAGTAAGACTTTTTCAAGCATATCTAACATAATTCGACGAATATTCTCCTCAAGGGTAGTCGATTTATTTTGGGCCTTACTAGAAGTGGCAACACCTTTCTGTTTAGTCTTACGAGATTTAGGTATTTTCTTAGAGGATGATTTACCCTTCTGCTTTACTTTTTTTTTGATTTAACGTCATTGATAGCATTGATAATTTTCACGATTTCACTCTCAGTTAAGTTATTCTCAGAATCGGATTCCAATTCAGAACTAGACCCAGAGTCGGAATTAGATTCATTATCAGAAGAATTGGTATTAGAATCAGAGCCGGAATCTGAATCTTTAGTAGCAAGATTAACCCTACCTTTTTTCTTGGATATGCTTTTGTTAGAACGTCTGGACTTGCTCTTCTTTTTAGAACAGTTGCGAGAATTATGGCCTGCTTTACCACACTTTGAACATTTGTATTGGGATGATTTTAAAACTGCATGTATTATTCGAGCCATTTTTGCCTGATTGATTCCCAACTGCTCGAATTGTAATCTCAAATCTTCAATAGGGTCATAGTCATAATCTTCTCCTGGTAGACTTGTATTATCTATAGCTTCATCTAAAAATTTATTCATGGCAATTTCATCTGCTTTTTGTTTCCCAGGACCGGGTTTTTTCGATAAGGTCCGCTTTGCTCCAGCCATTGTTTCCTTCAAACCCAGCACTATATCATAAAGTTTTTTGAAATCATCTCGCGAAACTGAGTTATCATTAGTTTGCACCTCCTGAGACTTAGAAGGGTTCACGGGGGTCATCCTGGAATTTATCAGGTTTTCGACTTCATTTCTAGTCATAGCCATATTGCTCAAGTGTTTATTTTTTTCACGAGAATTGGGTGTTGGAAATACTGGAAAAGAAGATGGCGTGCTCTCTTGGGCTAATGTATATTTTTCCGCCTCTGCCAATGCTGTTGTAATGTTGTCCTGAGAATCATGAAATTTAGCCATCATACGTAAATTATATTGATTCATAGGAGATAACCCACGAATAAATTGCTCCCTTTGTTGCTGGGGAGACATTCCAGCAAGTTTACCAAGCTTTTTTATTTTATTACTAAATTCTTCCACTTGCATAGATCCTTGCATAAGCTGACCAAAGATGGCCATTTGTTTTTGCGCCTCCACTGTAGTATAAAAATATCGAAGTCTGTATATTTTTGACCGAGCTTCATACCAGGTGCAATTGTAACATTAGGAAATCCTCCACCACCATTTGGTGCCACTGGTGCATCATTTACTGGCATTCCACCTGCTATAGACCAATCCTCATTCCATGTTCCATTTGGAATTAGATTAGCCCCAGTTGCTATTCCTGCACCAATTCGACCAATTTCTGCACTCGCCTCATTACGAAATTCGCCAGCAGTATTTAAACCACCTATCTGATTACCTCCATTTCCAGCACCGAGTGTACGAATTGCAGTTATAGTAGCTACTCCTAAGTTATCAGAAATATTATTGCATTTCCAATTCTTGCCTTTGATATTAGTTTCATACCAATTTAATGCTGGACCTTCAAGACATGATTCGAATAAGCCATCTGCTTCTGCTCTCCCGGCCACACCACCCGCACCATGTTCCATTTGGAATTAGATTAGCCCCAGTTGCTATCCCTGCACCAATTCGACCAATTTCTGCACCTGCCTCATTATGAAATTCACCAGCAGTATTTAAACCACCTATCTGATTACCTCCATTTCCGGCAGCGAGTGTACGAATTTCAGTTATAGTAGCTACTCCTAAGTTATCAGAAATATTATTGCATTTCCAATTCTTACCTTTGATATTAGTTAAAAACCAATTTAATGCCGGACCTTCAAGACATGATTCAAATAAGCCATCTGCTTCTGCTCTCCCGGCCACACCACCCGCACCAGGTGCCACATTCATTCGAGAAGCTACCACATATCTTTGAAAATCTCTAAGAAAATCTTCCGGATCTTCTCCAGGATTACCTCTATAAATTGGGGGTCCGTATCCTACCATTCCTGATATATGTTGGTTATTTAGTAATGGATTATTCTGAAGCGCAAAAATTTGTTGATTTAAATTCAAAATATTCTGATTTTGGTTCGTAATTAATTGACCATTATTTCGGCATCGTCTTTTCCACTTACCCCATTTAGTATCAAGCTGAATATCGCTAAGAAGTAAATCATCCCGGCATGTATCTAACTCTTGTCGCAGGGCTCTAGCATAATTCTGAGATTGTTGTAATCGATGGCTATAATTGCGCAATAATAATTGAGTGGCGAATTTCTCACGTAGTAATGTACCAACTCGCCTATGTTTATCTTTATATGAATAGAACCAGTGCCTACGTTCATTCTTTTCATTATGATAGGCCAAAAGTAATATTCTATAATCACCTTCAGCTTGGGTTATACCGGTATTTAACCTTCTAATATCTTGGTTCTTTTGATTGACTTGGACTTGTGCCTGATCTGCCCGATTCTTTTCCCAGTCCAAAATTTCTCGAAGCCTTTTTACAGCGTTTTTTATATCATCAAATTCGCGATCAATAATACCTCTGGGGATTGTAGATACAGGAGTTCTCTGAAATATACTATTGATATTATTGAATGTATTGCGAACAGATTCCGTAATTGTCTGTGCCTCACCAGGGGCAGGTGCTCGAATTTGTTGAGCCATATCTGGGTTATCTTTATGAATATATTTATGGGATGATATTTCATGAATTCGAATTTTAAGGCTCTCTACTTCACTTTCTAGATTGGATATTTGTGTATCCCGATATACTATGAATTCTTCTTTTTTATCTACATCCTTTAAAGCTATTCTGAGGCATTTTTCAAGATCAGATACTTGGGTTTTTAATTCCCGAATCTCTGACTCATGAGCTATAATAGTGCTATCCTGGAATGAAATAGTCCTATGGCAACTCTCAACTTCTTTTATGAGGTCGCGGATTTTTTTCTCATTCACTTGGTTTATAGCTATTTCGCTTTCTAACTCTTTGCGCAACCTCCGGTTAGAATCTAGCAGTTGTAAATATCCTGGATCGAATTCAAAATTCGCCATTTATTTCAACCCTAATTTATTATTAGAGTAAAATGCATTGAAAATGAGCAAATTGAGCAAGCCTATTATCAGAATCGATCCTAATGATGAATTAGCTTTAGTTTGCAAGTTATTGTTCTATCAACCCACAGGTTATCATTCCAATGCTCGATCATTACATAAAGACCTCAAGAAGGAAGGATATAATTTCCCATATAAAAAGGTTCGTGAATGGTTGCATAACCAGAATGAATGGCAAAAATACGCTCCATCGCCAAAAGAGACTCCACGGGTTAGTTATGGTAAAATTCAAAAACCAAATTGTGTACATCAGTGTGACCTCTTATTTCTTACGCATGATTTCTATAAAGGTAAAAAATGGAAAGCAGTATTACAAATTATAGATGTGAGTAGCAGGTTCAAGGCAAGTGTTCCTCTAACATCGAAGAATAGTTCCGAAGTTGCTAAAGCATTTAAGAAAATTTATGATAATCCCAATAACCCTCTTACATACCCGACACTTCTACAATGTGACGGTGGTAAAGAATTCATGGGTGAAACTGCTCGATTAATGGAAACGCATAATGTCACAATTCGAGTAATTGGTGCTTATAGTCATCGTGGATTAGC